CAGGCAATTTAGAGAGCACGTAGTCAGATATACAGATCAGGGCTGCGGCAATGCTGTTATTATACCATCATAATATTTTTTTTTTTAATTCTAAGTTCCTTTCACATGTGGTCCTTCTAACCTTCACAGTATCTGAACCCAGATCATATTCCATCCTTAAAACTTTTAAACTTTTGAACTATTAAAATTGCATTGTTTTTGTAGTGTGAAATATCTGATTTCCTTTGAATGGTGCTGAATTGTCCTAAAGTAGTAGTGCCAATACTTTTGAAAAGGTTAATGAACTGTATCTAACGTCCATTTTTAGGGCTCTCTCAATTCTATGCACATATTTGCTTATCCTTTTGGTATTTTGAAATTCAAATAGCCCTAGTTATAAAAATGGCAGAACATATTTGAGTAAATTCCAAACCTATTAAATATTCACAAGTTCAAAATTTACTCACAAAACTGTACCTTTAGAAGATTTTATATGGCTTTCTTTGGCTGCATCCGTGCACCACAATTATAAAGGCAATTGCTGGAGATAGCAAGGAACAGAACCCCTTTGTTCTTTAGGAGAGTGGTGCCACCACTGAAATATAATTATGCCTAAACATGGCAAGGATAACAGACAGGAAACAGGAAAAATCTGGAAATAGATGGTACTGAGAGGAAGTTGCCTGAAAGAAAAATCTTAGTAAAGAGAAGAGAAATGCTGAAGTGTGTGAAAGACAATGATGTTTTAAAGGAGAAAAAAAGATTTCCCTGCAAAAGAATACTATGATACTTGATAATACCTGATATCACAGAATAAGAAATACAACAAGAGGCCAGACTGGCTAGAAAGCTATCTTTTCAGTGTGTTGAAACTCAGAAAAAAATCCCACAAAGAGAGGCAATTTGGTCATGGTACTAGGGAAGAGTATAAAAGTACTGCAAAGGCATACAGGGATACCGTTAGGAAGGCCACGACACAATTTGAGATACAACTGGCAAGGAACTTAAAAGGCAAAAAAAAGGGATTCTACAAATTATGTCATGAGTAAGAGGAAGACCAAACAATGTCCTTATGTCCTTTATGGAATCCAGAAGGCTATCTAGTTACTGATGATGCAGAGAAGGCTGAAATATTTAATGCCATTTTTTTACTTCAGTCTTCACAAAGAGGGGCAATTATCAGATCATGACTGCAATTGGCAGCAAAGATAGGGAAGGAGACAAACAAGCTAGAGAAGAATGGGTTAGGGATTACTTAGAGATGCTAGATGCTTTCAGGTTAGCAGGATGGATTGGATGCACTGTAGGGTACCCAAGATATTAGCTGAGATAATTTCAAACCCATTAGCTATTCTCCTTGAGAACTCATAATTTACATCCAGACAAGTGTGATCATGTAGTATGTGGCACTACAAACAGGTTTGCAGCACCACATACTTCACAGTTTGGCATACTCCACACTGTAAGGGCACACTGCCTGAGCGTGCACTGTGCCAGGTTTTTTTTTGGACACCTGGATATCCACGGGTCAAAAAACCAGGAGAAAACCCCAGAAGAACACACGCCTGGCCACTGTGGGCTGCTGAAAAGCAGAGCTGTCCCACCCAGAGCCACACTCTGCTGCCAGCCAGGCTCCACACAGCAGAATCGCTGCAGCTGCAGCCCCAGGAGTTCCCCAGGTGAGGCTGCTGGGGACAGCACAGTGCTGGCCCCAGCCTCCCCTGCCCCACCTCGGGTAATTTGCCATACAACAAAGCACACATAGCATGGGCATTCCCTGGGGACAGGAAGCAGTGGTGCAAGGTGTACCACTGCTTCTTGTTCACGGGGAACCAAATGTCCATGCTCATCTGGATGCACCCATAGAGTTTAGGTGAGGTCCCAGATGTTTGGAAAATGGCAAATAAAGTGCCCATCTTTAAGAAAGGGAAGGAGAATCTGTAGTCAGCCTGACCTCGATATCTGGAAAGATCATGGAGTAGGTCCCCAAGGAATCTTTTGTAAAGTACCTAGAGGACAGTAAGGTGATCAAGAATAGCCAGCATGGATCCATTAATAGCAAATCATGCCTGACCAACCTGTTTTCTTCTATAATAAAATGAAAGAGTCTATGGATGGGGGGAAAAGAGTTGGTGTTATATGCCTTGACTTTAGCAAGGCTTTTGACACTGTCTCTTGCAACATTCTAAGGAAATACAGACTCCACTTCCTGTGTCCAGAGTCATAAGTAGAGAGGGGAGGTTCCCCTGATGGGAAGGTAGGAGGTGTCAAAGGTGGTGGGGAGGGGTGGGTGGGATTATTACCTGATTCAGCGAGTTAAAGGTCTGTGGCTACTGCTCTCATGGCATGGAAAGCCCACCCCAGTGGGTGGGGGGAGGCTGGAACTGGGGGTGCAGCCACCCCTACAGTGCCAATCACCAAACCCCTTTCAAAATCCTGGTTCTGCCTATACCAAAACCTCTAACCGTATTACTTTTTGCAAATCTTGACAATCCTTTTCATGTCCAATCGTGTAAACACCAACATAACTTTACTCGCTTGACCAGTTATGGTTTTACAGCATCTAATGAAAAGGATCCAGTTATTTTTTCAGTATAGGAACCACTTTTACTGTGGTTGTTTACTCTGATGTTGCACACCATCAAGCTTTGAGGGTGGGGAGAAGGTGTATATGAGAGCAGAGGAAACTGAAACATTGTAGAGGGAGGATGAGAAGTCAGAATGAAGGGCAAGAGGATGGGAGACAAAGGATACAGAGAAGGAAGGAGAATATGGAAGACAGAAGCCAGAGGAGGTTCAGGGGAGTCTTAAGAATGTATGGATTATGGAGATAGGAGAATGGGGAAGTATGAAGAATGGCAGCAACATATGAGGGGCAGAAAGTGGGCATGGTCAGGGAGGGAAGGCAAGGAGGGAAGAGGGAAGATGAGAACAGAGAGAAGAGGCAGATCCGTGAAGTGGGGAGTGTGAAGAGAGCAGAAGACAGTGATTAGAAGGAGGAACTAGGAATGGGTTTGAACTTCCTCACCGGCACAATGAAAGGCATGAGACATTCCCTTAAAACAGCTGGAACACGGAAACATTTTTGCTGGTGTAGTTAAGACTATATTTTGTTCCTTAAAGGCTTCCATAGACTTTGGAGGCAGGTGGATTTCCCCCTAAAGCAAATGTACCCTTTAACAATATCATAAGAATTTGACTCAACGCTTCTGAAATTGCAAAGCTGGCAATACTGCTAAAATTCCCAAGAAGAGAAAAAGATCCATATCTATTATATTTCTACATTTAAGTGGACTATGTTTTGAATACTAAAAACTCAGAGACAAATTCAGTTCTCATCTCTATCATTCAATCAAAATGATTTTAGTGATAATGTACAAAATTACAGGGTATCCTTCTTTTAATATACATTAGGTTTGCTCAAAATAAGCCTACCAGATTAAGCCACTAAGGGGGTTAGACAGGGTTTAGAACAATCAGGTTTAAGCATGATGGAGACAAGAGACTGCTTGACCCTGACAAGAAGGAGGTTGCTTTGGCCACATGCAAAAGCAAAACTTTAGGCACTTCCAGTAGAAAAATGTAGTCCCTATGGACTTTAAGAATTAAGAAGTTAGGCATGGCACTGAGGATTGTAATCTTCAATTTAGGAGCTAAATTCCACCTAAAGTACATCCTGTAGGTGCATAAATCCTTTTGTGGTGTTAGTGGAAGAAATAAAACTAAAATGCAGATCATCTGAGTCTGAGCAAAATGCTCTGTTCAACAATGGGGTGAAATTACATATTACACCGATTGGGGTGTGCAAAATATATCCCATGGGGCAGATCCGGCCAGCCAGGCAATTTCATTTGGCCCGTGGCTGCCCACCAGCTAATTTTACCCCACCCAGCCTGCGTGCCTTGCTCCCATACTCATGGGAAGAAGCACCTGGCCCAGCCCAGGATGGACTGTTCCCAGTTCCCTCACCCAGAGCAGGGATAGAGCCCATGTGTCCTAGTTCCTAGCCACAACCCTGCTCACCATCCTCTTAGTGGCAAGTCAGAGTTGTGCAGGCAAGAAACAGTATTAACCCTTGACACGTGACTGCTCACAGCATGTTCTAATTATAATGCCACTTAACATTCCACAGATTTATTATAGTCTGAAGTGTAACATGTAACTTCACTCAAATTTTAGTTATATGCAACTGCACTCAGAGGTTATAGTTATCCTATTCAATGAATCTCTGATGGAGTTCTAAAGCCAGGTCTAAAAATGTATGTGGAAAATGTTCCAAGTTTCTGTGTTAAGTGCTATAAGATCAGTCCTCTTATACTAACCTAGATTTCATGATGCACAAATAACCATTTACATACATACTTACATTTTCTTTTGCTCCCCTAGTTTAAAGCTTTAACTCCTATATGCAAAAAATGAAGGCATAAACCACAGAGGTTTAATTTAAAGTATCAGCTCTGAATTTGGGCTGCTTACCAAATCAATGTTTGTAAGCAAGAGTATGCAATATACACATATTGCATAGTGAAATCAAATTATTTCGCATCTCCAGGGCTGATGCTTTCATATATTTTTCATACCCTCAGTGTGCTTTGTGAAGAGCAGCAGTAATCCAGTATTTTAGTTACAAGCCTGATGAAAACACTAAAAGTGTGAGCAGCATCTTATGCTGCCTGTTTGTGTATTCCATCTTATATTGTCTAGTTTAATATAATATGTCTTAGCTGCCAGTGGACAGGAACCCGCTATAAATAAACTGTCAAGCTTAATTGAACAATTCTGCATAAAGCATCTTCCATAAATAAAACAGATTCATAGAGTATGAAGGAAAGAAAATATCTATCTCTGCATGTGTGCTTGCATGCGTGTGTGTGCATGTACTCATATGTGTATATATAAGAATAGTTTTCTTACAAACACTCTGGAGATGATCTAAAATGCCAACCCAATTTCAAGGAGAGGGGGAAAAAATCAACAGGATCAGTTTCTTTGATTTGAAAAAGGCATGGAGGGTAGTTTACCTGCAGCTGTCAATATTGCTTCTGCCCACAGCATTAGAAAAGGTGAAAGGTCCCAGATTATTGATTTCTATGACTTGTATACAGCCGGTGAAATTGTAGACAGATCCAGGCATCTAGAGAGAATGGGGAAAATATCAACCACACAGCGCTCACATTTGCTGTCTTTATAAAGAAACAGGTTTCTGCCAAGGGTTTGGTATACATTTTGTGTCCAATCCTGAAATGCTTACTCACTGTGAACTTTCATGTAGGTAATGTGAACTTGATTTCAATGAGCATTTCAAGATAGGGCCTATGCTGTATAATATTCTAATTATTTCCATATGAACATTTTAAAACATTTTTTTATTACATAAAAGCAGAGACACTGTAGTTTAAATCATTTTCCTTTTTCACTAATAATGCCTTTTAGATAAACAGAAACACACATACATTGACTCCAACAAAGGTGAAGTGGATTTATCAATCTCTAATGAGCCGCTTTGTAATGCAGGGTTGGGAGTAGCAAAATGCTAGCGACAAAGCTGTGGAAATTCCATGATTTTTAAAGCATTTTCTCACAGCTCTAATTTATTCACTCTTCTTAAGCAGGATACTACAGTGGTGCACAAAACCAACTAAGAATGGGACCTCTTTTTTCTAGACACTGGGCAATCATAGGAAAGTAGGGCTGGAAGGGACTTCACAAGGCACCCTGCACACTGGATTACCACTGACTAAACCATGCCTGCCAGGTGTCTGTCTAGCTTGCTCTTGGAAGTTTCCAAGGACGGAGATTCTACAATTTCTCTAGGTAACCTGTTCCAATGACTGACTGCTCTTTGGAGTAGTCCCCCAGTTTTTCTGGTTTTCTGACGTTCTACTCAGAAAGTTCATTCTAACCTAACGTAAATTTCCCATAATGTGGGTTGAGGTCTTTTCTCCTAGGTCTGTCCCCTACAGCCACAGAAAAAAAGGCCATCACCATCCTTTCTATAATTGTTCTTCAGGTATTTGTAGACTGTTATCAAATCTCATCTCAGTCTTTTGTTCTCCAGGCTAAATATTCCTATTTGTTTCAGTCTTTCTTCATAAGTCTTGTTTCCCAGCCCCCTGATCATTTTTTGTTGCTTTGTGCTGGATTCTTTCCAAACTGCCCACATCCTTCTTGAAGTGTGGGGCCCAAAACTGGACATGGTACTTCAAGTGAGGCCTCACCAGTACTGAACAGATTGGAAGAATCACTCCCAAGTTACATTCCTGTTAAGACAACCCAGTATGCTGGGTTTTGTTTTGTTTTGCTGTTTTTAAACAAGTGCAAACTGTTAGCTGATGGTCAGTTTATAGGGTTCGCTATAATCCATCTTCCCTGTAGTGCTTCAGCCTAGCCAGTCTGTGTTTGTACATGCACTTATTCCATCCAAAGTTCAGGACTTTGCACTTGTCCTTGTTCTCATCTGATTGACTGTGGATCATTTCTCCAATCCATCCAAGTCATTCTGGATCCTAGCCCTATCTTCTGGAGCATTTACAGCTCCACCCAACTTGGTGTCATTTGCAAATTTGCTAAGGTGTACTAGATCCTTTCACTGAGATCACTAATTATGATGTTGAACAATACAAGAACCAGGACAAACCCCTGGGAAATTCCATTTGATACCTCCTCCCAACTAGACATTTAGCCATTTAGGATTACTAATAGATTAGAGCAGTAAATTACACAAAGTATTTATCCTAAACAGGTAGAAAATGGAGGGAATGGGCAAAACAGAAGTAGTGTGACATGGAATGTCTGTAATAATCACATTAATTTAATTGGGGGGGCATGGAATCAATATAGAGGATTAACTAAATGGAAAGAAAAAAAAAGAGTAAGGCTGTAGCAGACAGGACAAGGGGAGAAGAGGATAAGAAGAGGAAGTGTGAAGAGAAGACAGATAAATAGATTGTTGAGAGAATGAGTCTGACTAATCAGAGCAGGGCAGAGAAAGGCTACAGAAAACTGTAGAAAGTTCTCTGAGGGTGTGTCTACATGTCACCCTACAGTGACGTAGCAAAGCGCTATGTCACCATACAGCACGCTACAGCAATGTAGCAGTCACATGGGTCTACATGTGATTGCCAGCTATGCTGCCATAGCAGTGTGCTCCCCTGGTATAGTGCACCGCTACGACAATATAATGGCAAAATCTAACCGTGCGCTGTGCTTTAGTACTTCCAAAAGGAAGTACTTCAGCATTGCACCATAGCAACATCACTGTACAAGAATGTGCAGACATGTTCTGAATGTCTAAATATCTTCACTTTGGCTGCGGTTGAAACAGAATCTACCAGCTGGACTCTCTGGCTAATTCCTTCACCTGGCTCCCCAAACAGCATGGCAGGTGACCTGCCAATGTCTTGGTTTATTCAGAATCTGTGAAAGCTTCTCCCTCAGACATTTCTGGGTTTAGGAAAGGGCTAAGAGTGTGAATAGTTAGTAACTGCCCAGCCAGAGAATTTCTTTTTCTTTTTTATTTGCTTGTTTCATTGACTTCATAAACTCATTATAGTGGATCAGATGCACTGGCATTAGTGCAGTAATGAAAGCAGACAATTCAAAAGAGGGCAGAAAATGGTACCACTGCCACTTTCTACTGGTTTTGTGCCTGATTTACCAAAGTTTAGAGCACCTGCCATTTCCAGTGACTTTTGCCACATCTCAGCTGGGAGTAGAATGTGGAATATAAGGATTCCTGAGTGCTGGTCTAAGTTCTAATTCTGATCAAAGTACACTCAGTGGTTATGGATAGCGTAGCCATGCACTCAGATTTGGCACATTCATTCCCAAGGGCAGTTTTGATAAAGTGGTTTAGACTTAATTCTGTCATTTTAGACATCTTAACTCTATTCCAATCTCTGTTTGAAGTCATTTGGTGCAAAGTTTTAGTTCCCTCCCTTATTTGTAAAGCAGAAAGTAGGTCAGGGTGACACCTACAGACTAACCGGTTCAGAGAGGCATAAACTGTCATAGGTGACAGCCTGCTTTGTCAGATGCTTTACCTCCAAAGTGCCACTTTGACCTAACTTCTGCCTGAATTCAGATTAACATAGCTGACTACCTCTCTTTATTTGTAAGTGAAAGAATGAGAATCCCTGATCAGTTATAATTCTTAAATCATTACTTGATGAGATGAAGCCAAAAAAAACACTGTGGTCTTAACCAACTAAGGAGTATCCCCCTCTCTGCTCCTCCCTCCTTCACCAGCAGTTTTATATGCAGATAGGCAGGATAGAGCTACCAAGTATGACATTTGGCAATCTGCTTCAATTTCTGGCATCCATAAAGGTTAGAGATGGCATGTATCCTGAATTGATTAAAGCTTTATTATTTTTCACTTTTTACCTTGGATTTTAGTTGCTTGTTTTAGCATGTATTTCTCATGCTAGATCATTAGCATATATATTGCTTTAAGTTAACAAGAGACCACATGCATTTTTAAAGTTTAGTATGGAGATAGGGAGACATGCTAATACTACTTGTGATTTAGTAGTGACATACAGCCTCACATATAATTATACATGAGACTGCTGAGGTCATACATGAATTTGAAAACATTATCAGTGCTGGTAGGACTGGCTACACAATTTAATTATCTTTTTTAGAACTTCCCCCCTATTCTTAACCTTCAATATTGTTTTACTGACTCTTTCAACTACCATTTTCCCAATATCACACTACTATTATTTCAAACACAATTCTTATTATTAATACTATAGAAAGAGAAAAAAAAAACAAGACACACAGATAAAACAAAGGTCAAAGACTATATAATTATAACATTTGCATCAGCCATTTTCTCTAAGCTCTTTCAGTATTGTTAGTACCAAGTTAGCATGAGGAAAATTACCATAGCAACCTGCAATCTATACTGCACATTAAACAGAAAACTAACAATGTGGTTTGGGAATAAAAATATCTGAATTTTCCCCAAAACTATATTTTCAGTGAATACTTTGGTTTATATAATGATGATCAGGAAACAGAAGTCTACAGATTGGGTCCCTTGTCACTTCTATTTTATTTATGATTGGTAGATTTTTAGACATTATGCTTTCTTCTTAATTAAACATGAAAAAGTTATGAGCTGCTTCTAATTACTGTAAGCACAACTACATCCAGCTATTCCTGTCAGTTAATAGCCACATGTTGAATGCAAAGACAAACTGCTCATGCATTTCTAAAGATATTTACTAATAAGGGCAATTAACAATTAAGATAAATAGGTACCTTTGATTTCATTGTATTAGGAGATACTAGTTTGTCATATCAGTTGGTGGAACAGCTTAATTAGACTGTAGATTTTGTCACAACCCAAGGGTGTGATTTTTGTTTGTGCGCGCTTCAGCACTGCTGAATTATTTCCCGCCGCTTGTAGCTTTCTTTGCAGGGTGCATTTCTTCGTTGCAGCTCAGAAATACACTTTGCAAGGAGTTCCTGCCATTTGTATTTAATTTGTGCCCCACTATTGGCTAGCTCTAAATTATTCCTACGTGGCGGCTAGCGATTGGCTTGCTAGCCGTATAAGAGGCTTGAGTGGTTTCCGCCCAAGTTGGAGGACTCCACGAACATCAGGAGGAGGAGACTTCACGTCTCGTGAAGATCTCTAAGCGCTGTGGAGCCTATCGGACCCAGCGTGTATTTCAAGAAGGCTATAGGGGTCTGATCAGCCTCTAGCCTCTCCCTGTCACCGAACAATCCCTCGACATACCCTTCCTTGCGCACACAAGTTCCACGGAGCCTAGCAAACTTTGTGTGAGTGAATTCAGAGCTCTGTCCGAGTCCTTAAACTAGGACTTAAGTGAAGTTTTCCTGGAAGTTTTCCAGCCTACACCGCGACCATCTATGGTGTAAGTAAACAATCTTAAATCAACCATTAAGCATCTGTTCCTATTTCTAGCGTGCTGCCTGCCTTCCCCGACCCAGCGTGTCCAGGCTGCTGGCCACAGCCCGCTGCATGAAAACCCCCCCCACGAGGGCCTCGGACCGCTCCCTGGCCCGCACAAAATTCACTTACAGGGCCCTGCATACGCACCTCACCTTTGTTCCAAAGTACTGCTCAGGGGTGAGAGGTCCTTCTGTCATATTGCACAC